GCGAACATGTGTTTGGAACAGTAGTTGCTTGGCTCATCTGTATTGGGATCAGGCTGGTTATTGGTGTTCATGAGTTCATCCCCTGGTGTGGCCAGGACAGGAGAAGGTGGGTAGCGTGTGTTTGAGGGGGAAGGAGGCCAGGAGGGGACAGGCAATTGCAGAGATGGGATCAGGGTATCACGTGTGCAGGAGAATTCAGAAAGAGGGAGAGTCTGGGGGTCGTTTGGGAAAAGGTTGGAACCAAAGACAAGAGACCAGTATGGTGTTAGAGTAGAGGCCTGAGTGGAAGAGGCACAAGTTTGCTGGGATCCCTGGTTGCTGAGGGCGGTGCCAGCTTCCAAGAGAGTTAAGAAGAGATGGGCTCAGAGGACTTTGCAGCCCCTTCAGGACCCTGGGGCCCCCTGCAAACCCCGGCCCTGGGGCCAGTCCTGCCGCCGGCACCCCACACACATGAGCCCTCTCCAGGCCCCCCACTCCCACGCTTCCTGCTTTCCTTGGGTGGGATCCTGCCCCTTGGGCCAAGCTTCCATTCCCTCACAAAGATTTACCCCTTCTGCTCTCCTTGCTTTGGGCCCCCTTAGAACTTTCCGCCTGACTCACATATTTTAGCACTTTCTTATATTTAATAAAGGTTTATTCAATCACCAAATCCTGATTGATTGAATGGCTACTAAATGCCAGGCACTGTGCTGCCCTGTGGACGTAGCAGGGGAGACAGACAGTAAGCAGGTTATTGGGAAGTGCTGTAAAGTGACATTTATGGCACTGGAGATAGAGACTAACTGGTGTCAAGGGAGGCCTGTCTGTGGCGGTGACAATTAAGCTGGGGTTTGAAGGATGAGAGGGAGGCAGCCATCTGAGCACCAGCAGAGGGAGCATTCAAGGCAGAAGCACAACATGGCATGGAGGCTCTAGGTCCAGAAGGAGCTGGGGTCTTCTAGAAGTTGTCACTGAAATGACAGTGGAGAGCAGGGCAAGGTCCCGATCGCAGTGGCCCCAGGAGCCATGGAAGGAATTAGGTCTCACTCTGAGTGCAGCGGGGAGCCTCTGCAGGCCTGAGAGCAAAGGGAGAGAGAGGTGGCCCGGCCGTGCTGGCAGCCGTGCAGAGAGCGGCCAGGAGGAAGGGAAGACCCGAGAGGGGCTCCGGGTGAGACGGTGGGGGGGGGGGGGGTTTGGTCAGGGCCAGTGTGGTGGCACCAGAGGTGGGGAATCAAGGACCAGTCTGCGAGATACTCGGGGGCGGCCCCATGGGTGGACGGGTGGTGGGGATGAAGGGACAGAAGGGAACCAGAGAGTGTCCCGGGTTCCAGCACAAGCAGCGGGCCATAGGGGCCATGAGTCGGTTCAGTGACACAAGCTGGACGGAGGGAGGAGCGCACTGCGAAGGGGAGGCTGACGAGAAGAGGCCCCTTGTAAACATACAAGTTTGAGGCGACCGTGGGTCATTCCCACAGAGGTGCTGGGCCATCAGCACGTAAACCTGGAGCCGAGGCGAGGCAAACGTGGAGAGGGCCGTTTGGAAATCTGAATGGAGTCTAGACCTGTGGCAGCAGACACGATTGCTGTCGGCTTCCTAGGGCGGCGGGAACCACCCCGCAGATCGCAGGACTCAGAACAGTAGCTATTGACTCTCCCACGGGCCTGGTGACTAGAAGTCTAACATCGAGGTGTCAGCAGGGACATGCTCCTTCTGGAGCCATTCAGGGAGGATCCTTCCATGCCTCTTCCAGCTTCCGTGGCCCCGAACGCTCCTTGGCTGGTGGCAGCATCACTGCCCCCTCTGCCTCCGTCCCCACATGGCCGTCCTCCCACTGTTGCGTCTGTGTCCCCATTTCCCTCTTGTAAGGACACCTGTCCTGTTGGCTTCAGGGCTCACCCTACTCCAGCGTGACATAATCTTCACCGATTACATCTGCAGTAACCCCATCCCCAAACAGCGTCACACTCTCAGGTATCAGGGATTAGGACTTCAGCATGTCTGTTCTGGCATTTGACACCCTTCACCCCATAACAGTTACCTAGAACAAGGGCGCAAAGAGAGGAGGCAAGGGGTCCTGGCTTTGCCATCAGAGAGCAGTTGGCTGGAGGAGGACAGGCCAGCAGAAGAAACGGAGAGGCGGGACAGATGCGGGAGCATGTGGTGTCATGAAAAGCTCAGCCTTGTGTCTCAGAGTGGGGACAGGATCAGAGGGTCACCCGTGGCCAAGATGTGTGGCTCTTGGGTCACAGAGCTGAGAAGTTGACCAGTGGCTGTGACGTGACCACGTGGCCGTGCTGGTCTGGAGAGCCACTGCCCTTGAGTGGGGGCAGAGGGTGGGAGGAGGGCGAGAAGATGGGGGGCCAAGCAGAGGAACTGCAGGAGACAGCCCTGGAAATTGGGGGGTGCAGAGAAACAAGGCAATAGCCGCGGGGACGCAAAGGGATGGAGGAAGGGTTTGGTTTTGTGTTCAGTTTGCTTTGTTCTGGTCTTCTGTTTTGTTTTTAAATGAGAAAATCCAGAGCCTGTCTGTGCTTGAATGAGCTGTTTCTGTGTCTGCGTGTTTGTGTTGCACACCCCTGTAGCGTCCAGCCTTCCTTGCTGCCGTCCCAGCACTGGGGCCCCTCAGGGACAGGACTGTGCCTCCTGTTCTTTGGTCCCCCGACCATCTAGCCTGATTCTCGAGCATTCTTCATTGTGGCCACACCTAGAAAAATATTCTGCTGTGTATATCCTGGTGCCATGAACGGCTGCCGCTTCATTTTCTAATAGAAAACGGACCGAGAGCAGCCTTCACAGGCCCTATGTGCGTAACATCAGTTGACGAAACCCACATCTGGTGTTTCTCGCCAGAGAATGTCACTGAAGTGCCCTCTGCACCTGTCTTGTGTGTCCTCAGGGAACAGAATCTGGGAGTGGGGTTCCAGACTCCACACAACCTTTAGGAAGGTCAGCCCCATGGTCAAGTCCAGAGATGATCCCATGAGATGAGCCCTGCATGTTCCTAAGACCCAACCTGGAAGCTATGAGGGGCAAAAGCCCAGGTCGCAGGAGTATGGAGACAGGGGCGGAGATGCTGGATCCTACAGCCGCAGCCTGCTGGGGGGAGCTTCGCAGGAACCAGGACAGGAGCTCATCCCCCGAGGACAGACCTGAGTCTGCCCATGAGACGCTCTGGAACAGAGAGGACAGAAAAGCAGGCAGGCTCTGACCCCATTGCTAGAGGCAACCTGCAGTAATCTCATCAGTTTACGGCATCCCTCATTGCAACGCAGATGACTGGCAGGGGACTTCTGGGTGACTCTGGAAAGCCCTGGTGTGTGGCGGTAACCCTAGACACAGTGACCCAGGCCGCTGTGGGATTGAAGGCCCCATGGCACAGGACAGTCCAGCAGGGACAGATCCTAAAAGAACCTCTGGCATCCCCAGTGCACCAGCGCCAGAGGGCAAGAGCAGCGTCCCATGTCAGCAAAACCTACGAGAGGCTGAAATGCCAGGCACAACCCTGGCAGCTGAAGATGCCAGCAGGGAGGGGACAGGGAAGATCATTTAAATAGGGCCAATGGCAGCTTGCCCCCCCACACACCACACACACACACACACACACACTCCCTCCTACCACGCCTGGGAAGACCCACCCAGCCTTGGACTCTGGCAAAAGAATGTAGTGAGTGCAGACTGAGGACTGTGGCACTCTAGAAGCACCTGGCAGCAGTGCGGAGGAATCTCCAGCTCTAAGAAGTGAGGAGACTCCTTTTTACTTCTGAAAAATCAAGACTTTGTTACAAAACATGTTGGGTTTTGTTTGTTTGTTTGTTTGTTTTTCAGTGCTCTTACCTGGAGGAAAAAAGATTAGCCATGAGAGCAAATTTAAAAGAGCAAAGTGGGGAGATGCTTTTTAAGTGGGGAGAATCCAGCTCGAAGCTCCACGACAAGTGGAGATGTTTTGACCACACTCTTGCTCCCTCCTCCCGTGCTAGCTGGGTGAAGATAACCCAGACGGTGCAGTTGCCCAGCTCCCACAGCTCCCACTCCAGGCTCCCGAAAGGGGAGGAGAGTGGCGTCCTCAGGCATTGCTTAATCAAGTGGGAAATTTACAGAGAAAACAGAAGCTGGGCTAATGCATTTCATTATCAGCAGAGCGCCTTGAGCCACAGTTTTTAAAGCTGTGTTCATACTTTGAACCTGGTTTTCTCCAAAATGTACCCCTCCTTAATCATGACACATTCTCAGAAAAGAAAATGCACTCTGTGGTCTCCTTGGCTTTCATTACTAACTACATGTGAAAATTTCTCTTTGAATTTAGGTGGTTTCCTTCCGAAGTTCCGGCATATAACCCTGCCTATCATTTGAAGGGACGTAGTCCTGCAGTTGGAAATGGGTTTAGAATGGAGTTCTGACTGGTATCCAGACTGGATTCATGAACAGGGTTCTATAATAACAATATTAGAGGACTTTTTAGGAGCCCAACTTTTTAGAAGCTGATGACAAAAAAAAAAAATAGCGTTTCCTTATAAAAGTGTGATTCAGACTCCTTAGAGGATGGATCATTGGCTTAATGGGTATTGGATTGATCCCCTTGTTCTGGGTAGAGGCAACTTGTCTTCTGTATTACTGAAAGTAGAACATCTGCATTTCAGAATTCCTTTGTAAAAACCAGGCACTCTCTAAAGATGGGTTTTCTGGGTTTTCAGTTACAAAAGATAACTCCTGGGTCTCTCTAAAGTGGTTATTAGCTCATCTGGTTGGAGTGTAATGGTAATGAAGCTGATAGATGTGACTCCCTGTTCTAGATCCACCCTTTATCTCAGCCGGCCGTCTGACCACACTCCCTGCTGATGGGGAGCACCAGCCCCAAGACCGGGGGGAATCACTCCCACACAGTGCAAGAACCATAGGTCCTCTAGAGGGAAACAGTAATGGCACCCTGGATTTGAAAGACAGGATTTTATGTAGAGTTCATATAGAAGTAGCTGTCCGCCCTTCCAAATTGCTAATGATTTCTCCCATTCTTCCTTTTCAGGGCTCCTGAGATCATCCTTGGTTTACCATTTTGCGAGGCAATTGATATGTGGTCCCTGGGCTGTGTCATTGCTGAGCTGTTCCTGGGCTGGCCGCTCTATCCAGGAGCTTCCGAGTACGATCAGGTGGGTCCAGGTAGCTCAGGCATTCACAAGAAGCACTTCCTTTATAACATGACACGTGGATGAGGTAATAGGGTGTTTCCTTGTCTCTCAAACCTTGCTTCTCGTAACAGTGCTTTTCTTATTCCTTTCTTTCCCCTTTTTCTTCTCTTACTTCTGTCTTTCCCTATAAAATTGTCATTTTTCTAAAAGGTGCTAGAGCCGTTAGTACCATATGTACAGTGACAGGAAACACCCTGACCTCATTCTCATCTTTTCTTGCAGATTCGGTATATTTCACAAACACAGGGTTTGCCAGCTGAATATTTATTAAGCGCAGGGACAAAGACAACTAGGTTTTTCAACCGTGACACAGACTCACCGTATCCCTTGTGGAGGCTGAAGGTAGGAAGAACATCCCCTGCATTCCTCACCAACACCCGACACTAAGGGAGGAAGGGCATCGTCTGATTAATGGGGAGCTATTGCCATCAGCACGTGGATCCTGGATTTCGCATTGATTCAGCCAGCATGGGAGAGGGGGTGATCGTTTTGATACATGGGATGGATGAATTTGAATGTTCAAAAGCCCCACTTTGTTTGGCCTGCTGCCCATGAAGCTCAAATCCCAAGTTCTGGTGGCTAAACTCCTGGGATTTAATCACAGTAAAAACCATTATGACTTCTTGGGTTTGTGCTGGAGAGAGAAATGAACCACTACCACCCCCCTTTAAGGAGCTCCTAATCCAAACTGAGCCTGGACGCATGTGGTGAGCCCAAGTTCTACCCCCAACCCACCCATTCCCACCTACCCCCTGCTGTCACAAGTCCCCGCATTCCTGGTAGGACAGAATGTGGGGCCTTGAATATTGCCTGTGGCAGAGGGTCAGGGAGGAACATTTGAGCTGGACCCTAAAGGATGAAGAGGGTCTTCCAAGCAAAGAAAACAGCCTCAACCACATGGCTCTAGGGAGGGATCTGTTTGTCCCAGCCGACAGGTGGTATAGCGCACCACTGCACACCGTAAATTCTTGGGTGGTTTTACTTTAACGGAAACATATTTTGCTTTCACTTTGATCTGTGCCTAATAATTAAAATCAATGTATTTTCCTGGGAAGGAGAAAATAATGCAAGTCTTAAGTTTGTTTATGTTCATTTTAGGTGTTTCTTTTTTTGCAAGAGAGTGGGTGGGGTTTGTTTATTGGGATTTTTGTTTTTGTTTTTGTTTTGTTTTGCTTTGTTTTTTAGATAAACCACAGATATGATTTAAAGATAAAGTGTGGCCAGTAGTTGCAGATCTAGAAAAGAGATTTGAGAGCTAAGCAAGCACTCCAAGGCTATTGATGAGAGGGCTGGCATTTGGCAACTATGAGAGTGAGCAGCTCTAGGTCAGGCCCAGTAAAAAAAGAGTTCTGGGGTGGAAGAGGGTGAGACCAGGCAGGGACAGGGTTCATTTTTATGACATAGGTGGTTTATGTTTACTTAGTTTATGCCTACTTGTCCAGCTCTTCCTGGGATAGCAGAGCCTGGAGACTAGTGACTCCAGGTATGCCATCCTTGAGTGAGATTTTGAGGATTAATTACCTGTGATCCGTGGATGCGTCTAGAAACCTTGTAGTAATTGGAGATAGCAGCTTCCTAGACCAAGACCACCAAATGTACATGCCTCGGCCCCAGGCAGACACTGGGGCCAGCTGCTGCTCCCTGGTCATGCAGCCTTGACAAACTCCTTAAGCTCGCCATTCCTCTTTCTCCCTCTAGGATATGCATTGGTCATCATCCAACCTAGAATGGTTGTGAAGTATAGTGAATGAGCTCATGTGCTTTAGAATAGTGCCTGGCATGCAGTGAGAGCCATCTGCATGAGAGTTTGAGAAATAAAATAAAATTTAAATTTATAAAACCATGCGGAAAAGGCCTCTGCTTAAACTCAGGGAGAATGAAGGCTTATCAGGATGTGGCCTATCTTGTGGGAACTCTCTGGATCTGATTGAGAGTGGGCCTCTGACAGGTGTTTGTGGGAAGGAAAGAAGAGAGATGAGTTAGTGTGGAGGATGAACAAAGAAAGTAATTAAGGAGCAGGTCACTTTAGGAGGAATCAAAGTGTCCTCTGAAAGGTGGGGAAAGGACCCTTCATGAGAAGCAAAAGCTCCAGGGTTTTAGTCACAGTGACAAGGAAATGATTCACATGATCAATCAATCAGCTTTTGCCTCTTTTGACCAGACACCAGATGACCATGAAGCAGAGACGGGGATTAAGTCGAAAGAAGCAAGAAAGTACATATTCAACTGTTTAGATGACATGGCCCAGGTAAGCCCCATGGGTGAGTATGCAATGTTAGCCCTTTACAAACCAAGCACAGCAAGACTTCCCGCATAACATAAGATGGCGGGTAGAAATTCATATTACTCAATTGTGGTGCTTGAACAATGCTATGCACTCTTAGTAAGAATACCATTGGGTTGGTGGAACATTTTCAAAACTTTACACCAGCTCTTTCAAAATAGCTTCAGTTTATTGGTTCCCATTTGTTTAAAAAAAAAAAAAAGGTACTGGCCAATCTTAGCGATGTTTTCATAAGAATTCAAACTCATTAGCACATTTGAGTCTCATGCCCATGACTCAGTGTATTAATTCCCTCTGGCTGCTGTAACAAACACTACAAACTGGGTGGCTTAAGACAGCATCTATTCTCTCACAGTGCAAGAAGCTAGAAGTTTGACATTCAAGTACCCCAGGCCATACTCCCTCTGAAGGCTCGAGAGAGAAACTGGCCCAGCCCCAGCCCCAGTGTCTGCTGGCTCCTGCCATCATGGGTGTTCCCCGACATGCAGCTACATCACCCTGACCTCTTTATCCTTCTTCGTGTGGCCTTTATCCCTGAGTTTCATCCTATCTGGGCACCAAATCTCTCCTCTTTTTCTTATAAAGACACCAGTCATTGGTTTGGGGCCAGCTCTGCTCCAGTATGGCCTCATTTCCACTTGATTGACATCTGCAAAGACCCTGTTTCCAAATAAGGTCACATTTACAGGTACCAAGGATTAGCACTTAAACGTATCTTTTGCTGCCACACTGTTCAACCCACTTCAGTCAGTCTCTCAGCTCACTGGAGGGACCACAGGCTTTCACCTTTATGCCCAGAGAACATTCTAGAACTTTAGCTATTTTTAGTGTAAAGACTAGTCTAAAATCAGGGCAACCCAAAGAGAGTTTTTCTTAAAAGCGATGCGAAGTAAAGCTATCGACTCAGCACACTTCTTACTGAAGGCGAGTGTAACCAAAAGTCATGATTCTGAGTAAAGGATACTTGTCAGTTGATTAGAAGCTTAGATTGTCTGAGAAAACTGAAATTGCTTTCCAGAGCATGCCTGGGAAAATAATAGAAAGCACCACAAAACAAGTCTTTCAAAAGCTGTCATAGGCTTGCTCTTGAAAGAAATATCCTGTGTTCAGATACTCAGCTTGTCTTGGCCAGAGGTAAGCCCAGTGACACGGGGCCTAAATTAATTCTGGCCCTTACTCAGGGCACCGCCAGAGGACACATACACTGTGCATGTACAAAGAGGCCACATAGGCCTCTGCAGGTTAAATAAATAACCCTCTTGGCATTTCAGTTTTTACTACTTGAGTGTAGTTACTGTTTTTTGATTGTGGCAACATACGCATAGCATAAAACTGACCATTTTAACCATTCTTAAGTATCTAATTCAGCAGCTATCAAGTCCATTCACATTGTTATGCAACCAGGGTGAAGAAGTATTTCCATCCTGTGATTATTTCCAATGAGGTGTGATGTGAGGTACATTTCAACTTAGCTGATCGAAGCAGGAGCAGTGCACATCCTGTTACTTCTCTGTATTTGCGAGTGTCATCAGTGGCCCACTGCCTTCCCCACGCATGGCCTCCCTCTGCCTTTCCTGGGGAGGGAGCAGCCACAGGCTGTAGGCAGTGACAGCCCACAGCAGTGGCTGCAGCAGAGCACCCACAGCCTGCTGGGGACGGGGAAGGGGCAACTGAGAGATAGGGACAGAGTCCTGGGCAGAGATAAAGGAAGTCTGGGGAGGGGGGCACAGCAGGGGTTTTGGTAACCTGTGTGGATTTCCCTCCAGGTGAACATGACAACAGATCTAGAAGGGAGTGACATGTTGGTGGAGAAGGCAGACCGGCGGGAGTTCATCGACCTGTTAAAGAAGATGCTGACCATAGATGCTGATAAGAGAATCACTCCCATCGAAACCCTGAACCACCCCTTTGTCACCATGACACACCTCCTCGATTTTCCCCACAGTACACAGTAGGTGTCTTGCTCAGTGCTTTTTACCAGAGTCAGCAAACTTCTTCAAAATATCAGATAGTAAATATCTTAGGCTTTGTGGCCATACAGCAGTCTCTGTCACAACCACTCAGCTCTGCCGTTAGAGCTGAAAAAAGCCGTAGACCATACGAAACCAGTGAGTGGGACTGCTTTCAATAAAACATTATTTGTAAAAACAGGTGGCAGTCAGCTTGAGTGGCCCTGGGCTGCACTGTGCTTTACACCAAAAAGGAGGGAATGCTGGAGCCTGGGAGAGCACGAGGTGGGCTGAACCAGCCCCTGGGACCTGAGCATGAAAGGAGTGCCGTCCATAGACAGCAGCGTCGATGAGGCAAAGCCCTTCCAGTGCCAGAGGTCACTCCCAGAACCATTCTGGAGTGGACTCAGTCTAGTTTGGATTTGGGTTTGTGCATTCAGCCAGCCAGCCAGCAGACTGCGAGCTGTGCCACATGCGGGTACCTTGTAGGGCAGAGCAGACGGGGCCCCTGGCCATTGGAGTTTCCAGCCTGTAGGTGAGAGAAAGGCACCTAACAGGTGATCTGCAGAGAAGCAGAGTTTTCCCAGGGAAAGTAGGCTGCAACCATGGCAGGGCAGCCAGCCCCTGACGAATGACTGCCAGAAAACGAGCAATAGGTAATCAGTGGAAAGGCCGGCAAAGGCAAGAAGGCCACTGCCAGGTGGGGACCCCAAAACATGAGCAGCAGAGGGGCTGGGGTCCCAGGGAAAGAGGAAATGGACAGGGTGCCCTGTTCATGGTTTGGGTGTTTATCCTAAGAGCAGTGGAAGTCACAGAGGACTTCTAAGCAGGGGATACGTTTAATAAAGACCTACCTGGTGCTTCATCATCAAGTCAGAGGAGCTTGGAGACCACGTGCCCATCGAGGTGGGCAATGTCAAAGTTGTGAGCGGCCTGAAAGCTGTTTGAGGGGAAGCAGCAGCCAGCATGGCAGGTTGCCGGGCTCAGGGTGGGTGGAGAGAGAACTGGGAGGGCCTAGAGGGGCCCAGGGGGTTTCTTCTGATACAAAGAGACTGGAACAGGTCAAGGTGCTGGCAGGAAGTGTCTGCGGCGAGTGAAGGATTGCAGAGAAGGGCACAGAAGTTCCCTGAGATGCCAGGAGGGGCCAGGATTCCAAGGCCATTGTCGCCAGAAAGGGTACATGGATGTCAGCAGGCATGCCGCTGGACAAGGGGGGTCGAGGGTGTTCTTTAGGCAGCTCCTGTCTTTTGTTGAGAGCAAGGTGGCTGGGGGGCTGAAGGAGTGTAGGAAAGCCTGGGTAGTCAGGACAGGAAATGGAAGAGCAAACCTAACAGAGCAATATGGGGCAGCGGAGCATGAAGGTTGGACGTGAATAGTGTAGAGGGTAACCGGACCCCGCAGGTGAGGGCCTGGAGACGACAGACAGTTAGCTGGGGTCATCCAGGTGGAAGCTTTGCCAGGCTGCTAAGAGGAGACAAACTGACACACTTAGGACGTTGGCACTAGGGTGCTGTAATCTAAATGATGGCTGTGGGAGGCTTAGCTGTGACAGGGAGAGGAAGCAAAGATGAAGGGGCCAGACGGGCTGAACGGTCTGATCACCTCAAAGATTGGTGGTTTTAGCAACAGCCAAAAGATCCAGAGGGGCCAAAGCATGGCCGGGAGATGGGTGCTTGAATCTGCAGTGTGGGGAAGTGGAGTGGTTGCGGTTGCCCGGGAATGGGTGGCTGGAATCGACAGCAGGCCACTGGGATGAGAAGTAGCCGAGAGGCCGGAGCACCTGACCTCTGAAGCCTCCACCACCGAGCAGGGCATGGGGCACCGCAGAGGACCGAGGTGGAGGACCGAGGTGCCCCAGGCTTCAGTGACTGACAGGGAGCGGTGGTGCCAGAACGGGAGGAGCGTTGGTTTGCAGGGGCTGTGGTAACAAAGCACACGGAGGGGCTGACGGGCTTAAACAGCAGTTTATTTTCTCACCGTTCTAGAAGACCAAGACCAAACACCAAGATCAAGGTGTTTGGCGGCACTGGTTTTTTCTCAGGCTGCTCTGCTTGGCCTGTGAATGGCCATCCCCTCCCTATGGCCTCACGGGGTCCTTCTGTTTGCATCTGTGTCCTAATTTCCTCCTCCTCCTAGGGAATTGGATTAGGGCCCACCCTGCTGGCCTCATTTTACCCCTTTCAAGATCCCCTCTCCTGATGCAGTCACATTCTGAAGTCCTGGGGCCTGAGAACTTCAAGTTGTGAATTTGGGGGCACAGTCCAGCCTGTAACAGAGGGTAACAAGCCTCTCCACCTCCAGGGACCTAGGATGTGAAAGAATAAGTAGCCCCCTCCCTGGATGTCTGCAGGGAGGCGCTGTGTGCTCAAGGGAGCGCCAGGTTTTAGTTAGGGTTAGGAGAACACAGGGATGCATGAAGGGGCTGAGGATAAGAGACGTTTGCACGTCCTGGCCGGGCCTGCCATAGCCAAACTCCGATGGAGCCGAGTCTCAAGGCTGGACTTGACCTTATCCGAAGCTGCAAGAAATGAGTGGGTGGTGCCCTCATTACCTCCTCTGATTTCAATGCTGGTCCTTAGCAGTTGATGCTGAGTGAGATCATATTGCAGCAACCACACGGTGCATCTTTAAATTAAAACCATGTTTGAAACAACTGATCTCCAGTACGAAGAAGGAACTCAGACCCCTCCCTGGCAAGCCCTCTTTATAGGATATGTCCTGTTTCTGGGGTGGCATGGGTAAATCAAGGAGTCAGTCTGCACAACAGAAGGAAGGTATACTTGATTTACTGAATAGGATTCCCGTGAGATCGGTCTTTTTATATTCAGGGGCCAAGTGAGATATTTGTGAAACGGCATGGTAGGAGATGGAGGGTGCTCTGTAGAGGGCTCCCGTTAGCCATCTGCATAGTCGATGAGACAGTCACCCACATAAAGTCAGGGGTGTAGCTGAATGACCTCAGAGCCCTGTCACATCTGGGTTCTGTTAAGGAAGCAGCAATAGAATGCTTCACTGTCCTTGGTGAAGACCAAGCGTGGAGACATGGGCATCAGTTTCAAATTCAGAATTTGGTGTAGATCCAGGATCATTAACAATTTAGAATTCAGAAAATGGGCCCCAGAAGGAAAGACAGGTCTCTGAGCACACCTAGGCTTACCTGAGAGTAGGCCTAACCTATAAGGGTCCCTAGAACTGGCTGGGAAGACTGTGAGAATTACAGGGCAAGGAGAAACCTCCAGCCCACACTGCTGAAGATCCTTGGGGCTGGGTCAGAGCTGCCCCAACATCTAGATTACCAGGTGAAAGAGACCCCACCCATTTCTCCATACCAGGGTTCTAGAGCACAGATTCCTTAAAAACCATTCTCACAGAATTAACCCAAAGTGCAAGTTGCTTGCCTGTCTTCCTGAAACTCAAAACTCAGACCATTTCAATTAGAAAATTCTGAGTCTAAAAGCTTTGGGTTGAATTGTCACAAAACCATATAATGCTTTAAATACATTCCAATAAGAATACAAAATCCATCATTTTATTCTTTCAGCTTCCATGTGAAAGCACTTAGCAGTTTGCCTGGTACTTGGTAGATGCTCAAAACATGTTGGCATTACCAGCATTATTAGTAGTATTTTTAGCTCTTAGTTACCATAGAATAGGTTTTCCTTTCTCTCCAGGGTCACAGTCAGTAAGTGTTTATTTTGTGTGCATTGTGTGGCCATTGTAAGTAGTCATTTATTCAGAAAGAAAGGCTTCTCTGAGCATGTCTGAGTTCGGAACATCTTTCATGGAAAGGATGTTTAGGGATAGCCCACAAGCACCTGCTTGGCCCAAAATATAGATTACCCATAGTATACATTTGTAATCCTTTATTTCCTTAATTTAAAGATTTTTATTTGGGATCCCTGGGTGGCGCAGCGGTTTGGCACCTGCCTTTGGCCCAGGGCGAGATCCTGGAGACCCGGGATCGAATCCCACATCGGGCTCCCGGTGCATGGAACCTGCTTCTCCCTCTGCCTGTGTCTCTGCCTCTCTCTCTCTCTCTCTCTGTGACTATCATAAATAAAAAAAATAATAAAAAATAAATAAATAAATATTTTTATTTGCAAGAGAAAGAGCACACACAGCAGGGGGAGGGACAGAGGGAGAAGCAAATTCCCCACTGAGCAGAGAGCCCGATGTAGGACTCGATCCCAGGACCCTGGGATCAGGACCTGAGCCAAAGGCAGATGCTCAACCAACTGAGTCACCCAGGCACCTCTACATTTGTAATCCTAAGTAGCAGAAAATTAATATTTTATTTATATTCACTTATTATATTATTTATAATTAAAGTAAGTAGTGAGAATTGAAGTTTAAATGCTGTTTCACTATCCTGAATATTATTAGCATTTAGGAAAAGTCAGTTTAATGAGAAGACAAGTGAATGAGAAACAATGTACAAATCCCAAAGGACACTCTGTGGTGGATTTTCAAGAACTCAGTGGTTGAGGCCACTGTGGTTTTCTTTTCCTTGAGGCCAGTAGCAGCAACATTTTTATACTTTACTTTCCTAACTAGGAAATCCTAATTTTGATTCACAAGTGCAATGAAGAAAAAGAGGGAGAGAAATTTTATTTCATGTAACTGGGCAAGAATGAGAAAAGCAAAAGGAAGGATGAATCAGGAGGCAAAAGAGGATGTATATGCACATGTGAAGAAACTGCTAGTAATTAACTCTTCAACTGGCTGATGACCTCTCTATCCTCTCTCAAACGTCATCCTTACTCGTAAAATAGGGGCAACAATCCTCTCTCCCTCTTGTGGTTGTTGTAGGACTGAGTGAAAGGGTGCCTGCAAACACCTGCCACGGTTCTCAATAGATGGGAACCACTATTATTATTACTAGTATCACGTGCAATTCCAGTGCGGACGGACCAGGAGTGGCAACAGGGACATGGTAGTGGGTTGGCTGATTCCTTGGCCATCCCCTAGATGGCGCCGGTGCCCCAGAAGCACAAGGAGTTGTCTTAGGTAAGATGGAGGCTGGTCAGAAGCTACGGTTTCCCTGTTCCCCCATCCGAGAAACCACCCTGAAAGCCGGGAAGGAACAGTGAGGTTGGCTCAGCAGATCAGGGATCTGAGGAAGAGACGGCGAGGGCCGACAAGTCCTGTCAAGTCAAGTCCATTGTGCGATGGAGAACCTCCACCCATCCTGGATGGGGAAAGGGGGAGGAAGACAGCAGGGGAAATTCATCTGCATAACCTTAACTCTTGGAAATGCAGACTTTGCGTGAGAAATCCAGGAAGTTTAGACCTAAAGTTAAGTTGCCCTGGTTGTCTTGTTTATTACATTAACTGTTCTCTCCTTTTTCTCTCCATTTTCTCCCCTTTATCCCATGTATCCTCTTCTCTTTCCCCCACGCCTCTGCCTGTTGCATGAACAGCGTCAAATCATGTTTCCAGAACATGGAGATTTGCAAGCGTCGGGTGAATATGTATGACACGGTGAACCAGAGCAAAACCCCTTTCATTACACATGTGGCCCCCAGCACATCCACCAACCTGACCATGACCTTCAACAACCAGCTGAACACTGTCCACAACCAGGTAAATACGGAGCAGAGGGGGAAGGCGGGCAAGGGTGCTGGCGAGCATCAAGAATTGTATTTTCCCTGCGAACCTAGTCAGGAGTCCAGAATTCTCCAATACCATATACAAGAGACAGTGTCATACGCAAGGTTCCTCTATAGTCATATTTAATGATGTAAGCAAGTGTTTCCTTCCAAGCCTATTTCTTTGGAGAGACCTACACTCTGGATGGACTGCTGGTCCCACGGAGATGGCACCTTTTACTGTTTCCCTCTATCACGATGTGAGAGTGATGTAAAGCCTCCTCCTGTCATGCTTTTATGTCTGACATATGTGCCTGGGGAAGAATTCTAGCACTTGAGGGGACACTGGCGATCATGCAGTTTCAGACCCCTCCCCCTTGTCCCTGCACACATGGTCTCCTCTTGGGACAGATAAAACCTGTCCTTTCTCCAAGTTACAGGGAAAACCAATTCATTAGTCTGCCACTAGAACCCCAGCAGCTGGAACCAGAGGGGACCCGGAAAGTGAGGTTTTCTTCTCACAGATTTCCAACTTCTTGCAAAAAAAAAAAAAAATGAGCAGAACCCCACACCTAACAGGCTGTTTAAAATATGAATTATAGGGGACCCCTGGGTGGCTTAGCGGCTTAGCGCCTGCCTTCAGCCCAGGGCGTGAGCCTGGAGACCCGGATCGAGTCCCACATCGGGCTCCCTGCATGGAGCCTGCTTCTTCCTCTGCCTGTGTCTCTGCCTCTCTTCCTCTCTGTGTCTCTCATGAATAAGTTAAAAAAAAAAACTTTAAAAAAATATATGAATTATAGCCAGGAAATATTTACGGAGTGAATAACCTCCAAATCCTAGTCCAGGCTGCCTCCCTCTGACATCTAAGAGACTTTCACTTTTATTCCCAAATTCTAGTCTTAACCACTTCCCCAAAAGACTCTCCCTAGATTTTTTTCAGCCTTACTATCAGTCTGCAATGGCCTCAACATTCCTGTGTATGTGTGTGTGTGTGTGTGTGTGTGTGTGTGTACACATGCACATGCGCACACACCCCTGCGGAGGAAGGGAATGTATATGTTCTAATCCTGAAATATGAATACCTCTGCCTGGCCCTCCACTCTCCACTCTCTTCTGACAGGTCCCATACTGTCACTGTAGAGGCACTGACCCCAGCCTCCAGCACCACCACATCTCCTCCTCCCCTCCCCTGCCTATTTCCAGGCCAGTCCTGCAGCACCCCGAGTTGCTGAGACCAAGCTTTTCCTCCGTGGCCTCTCTCCCCCTGCCTATATCCAGGAGAGGCCACCTGGAATCTGCCCCCACCCACCCCCACCCCCACCCCCCACCGGGGCCATTGGTATTCTTAAAACTCCCATTAGGGGGAAGAGCTAATGCTCTCTAAGACCCAGAGTCCAGAGGAACAAACGGTCTCTCCCAGTGCCTGGCCCAACGCTCAGGCTAAGGTGTCCGTGGCCAAGCCTATGAGCTCCTTGACCAAATACCACCATGGTTTTGTCCTTCATCACCAGAACACCATTACATCAGCAGGCAGAAGGGTTTGTTTTGTTGTTTTGTTTTGTTTTTTATTTATTTGAGAGAGAGGAGAATAGGGAGAGGGACAGGCCGACTCCATGCTGAGAGTGGACCCTGACGCGAGGCTCCATTTCACGACCCTAAGATCACAACCTAAGCCAAAATCCAGAGTCAGACACTTAACTGACTGAGCCACCCAGGCACCCCCAGATGGGTTAATATAACAGAGAAGTTCGTTTAAATTGATAGTGTCAGGGAGAGTTTCAGTGTGGGGCACATGGGACCCAGGCGAGACCCTGAAGCACAGAGGCCTGGAGAGAATGCTGTGGGCCGGAGGGTTTGTGTGAGTCAGCAAGAACTGCACTCATGCTCTGCAAACAGTGAGTTGACTCTGGCTGGTGCCAGGAGCACAGAGTGCAGAAGGAGATAAATTTGGAAGGGAGGTTTGGCCAAACCATGGGAAAGGAGTGCCAGAGCAAAGTGCATTTATAGTGTTTATTAGACAGTAATTGGAGATTTGGGGCAGAGGTGGTGACATGCTCAAAGTAGTCTTTTGGAAGAATGTTCTAGCCTCATTCCCCAAGAAGAATCGAAGGGAAAAAGTGGAGGCCAGGACTTCACTAAACAAAGTCTAGGCACCAGGGGAGAGACTTTCAGCTAAGGAAGTAGCAATTGAAGAGTGAGATTCCAGGGACAGTCCGGAGGAGGCTGGAACAGTCGAGTACCCATGTGGGAACCTGGAAGATACCAGTCCCCAACGAGAGAAGCCCAAGGGACAGTGGGAAATGTGTGGTAGGGAGCCTCCAGGACAAGTGGGGCTGCTGGGAGGACAGAGAGGAAACACAAGGCACATCATCAGTAACAAAACACACACCCCACACACGTCACACGTGCATTCTCAGTCACACTACCTGGAGCCCCAGAAGAGCCACTTACTGTGACAGTATGTATTTTAAAATACTAGCACGTGCGTTACCTAACGGAGTGATTACTTCCAAACAAACCAATTTGCTTTGCACTAAAAATCAGTGTAAAGTCTAAATATTAGTAAAAAATGTAAAATGAGACTTTATCCCTTTTATCAAATTTGACATGTAGACATACCCTTCCTAAAATTCTATTTCTGCATGTATCCAGGATACCCTTGCGGCTCCTTCCCCCCGTAGCCTTCAGTCTGGGTAACCTCTAATAGCAAGACTTGTAGTAAACTGTTGAATTCGAAGATACTGGTGACCTCCACTTATCTTGCTGCAGGATCAGTGTGAAGAGGCTAAGATGGGGCAAAGCCAGAGAATTCCCAATTCAGAGCTGAGATTCCTTGCTTCCTGTGGAAGTTCATTCCCAAATGTTGTCTCTTTCCAAGAGAGACAGGAGAGAGGACGTAATTTCAGAGTTTATTTAACTCCTCTCCAGTTAAATTCTCCTGACCCTCCAGCATCTCTCCTTTCTGGCCTTCAGACTTTGTAGCTGAACACCAGCGTAAGAACACACCAAACTCAAACAAGAAACTCCAGGCTCAGTGGGTCCCTCTCCCTGGTGCTCTATTTCTATGGTGTGTTAATTTTCAGTAATGTGCTCTGCGGCCATCTGAGGGTATCTGTAAACAGTACTCCCCCTTAGACCTGAGCAGGAGAGCCCCTTCCAAGGCCTGTCTCAGGCTTCCTCTGTGTGTATGTGCTTCCATGCCAAGCTCTGGGGACCTGGGCCCCTGGGCCTACAGAGGCCTCTTCCTGGGATCATCCTCCCAAGTGCGGACTGCACCAGCAGGCCCAATGGAAGAGGAGCATGAACAGAGCTTGCACATGCAGGCTGGCAGGTCCAAATATGTGCCCCCAAAGCCCCCAATCTGTGGGACAGAGCTGGGGCAGGAGAAGGAAGGCAGGAGGTCACCTCTCACCACCACCAGCCCCCACCCATCCCCCCCCCCGCCCACCCATCACCATGTTCCAGTGTAGGACCCAAGGAATCCAAGAGTCCTCAACTCAAACCTGGCCTTCCAGGTTGCTTGCTGTCTTTAGAAGGACATTATGCAAGCTTCCAACTGCACTCCTGTCCAGGCCCCACAAATGTGAAGAACTGGCCTGGGTAGGAGCACCAGCGGTGACCCTCTCTATTGTGGCTGCAGGTGCCTGCTTTTCCCTGAGACTTCAGCTGTGTCTCCACTCCCCTCTGTCTTTGCTTTTTTGCTCTTGGTTTTTATTCATTTGTTCTTTTTTGAGTTCATTTATTTGATTTAGACTCATGTCTCCCAACATACCACCTCCCTCATTTTTTATTTTTGTTTATTTTTGTTTAATCCCCATCATTCCTTTAGGCTCCCACCTCCACCAGTGCCACTATTTCCTTAGCCAATCCCGAAGTCTCCATACTAAACTACCAATCTGCACTCTACCAGCCTTCAGCGGCGTCCATGGCTGCAGTGGCTCAGCGGAGCATGCCCCTGCAGACGGGAACAGCCCAGATCTGTGCCCGGCCCGACCCCTTCCAGCAAGCTCTCATCGTGTGTCCACCCGGCTTCCAAGGTAAGGCTGAGCAGACACAGCCCCTCACCTGCTTCTTACCGGGGGACCTCTGGGGCACAGGTCCCCGCAGTGATGTCCCTGGACTAAAGGCTTCCTTACTCTCCTGAGAGCACTGGCATCACTGAACTGAAGGGCCCGCCTCCTGCTCTGGCCAGCCTAGAAACAATAGGACTTATGCTTCTGCACCAAGTTGTTTTTCTCCCCACCTGCTGGTGCTTTTGTCCCAGGCCCAGCTCTCTGTAAATAAGCGTGCTGTTTGTGCTCTTACTGTTACGCTGATGTCAGCTTACATTTCCTCCAGTGAGCTGTCCTCTGGACGGGTTATCTATAGGGAATTGCCACTCTGGCCAGCCAGCCTCGCCTCGTTCTCATGAAAAATATCAATCTGTCTGAAAAGTATCTCCCAGGCCTGTCCCCCAGATGATTCTTTAGCCATGCACCCCAACACTCTTCTCTTGAAAGTTCTAAGAAGCAGGAGTTGACTGGGTATGAAGTTACGGTATATACAGAAAGCTCAAGTAGTTGTTTCTGCAAAGCAAACCCTGCTGGTGTAAGTCTGTGTGTGGTTGCTCAGGTTTCGAATCCGTGCCTTTCCAGTGGATTCAGGCGCTCTTCCCAACAGCCCTGGCTTTGACATACCACAAGTGTATTTTCATGTCAGCAGCCATTTTTCTGCTGTAATTTGCCAGCAGAGCTGTTTCACTTTTGGTTTTCACAGACTCCCTAATTTGACCTTCTAGTCTTTAAAAACATTCAAAGTTGTTTTCTTGTGGCTTTTAAAATTTTAAGTTAGAAACTAAAGGGGAGATGAGACCTGGCCAGCTGCCTAGGAAGGTTCTCTGCATCCAGTGGTCTCTGACCACTCAACAACCCCTCTTCTCTCCCTCACCCGGGTCTGGAATAGGGTTGCAGGCCTCGCCCTCTAAGCATGCTGGTTATTCCGTGAGAATGGAGAATGCGGTGCCCATCGTCACTCAAGCCCCGGGAGCACAGCCTCTTCAGATCCAACCAGGTCTGCTTGCCCAGGTAATTCTTTCCTTATTATTACTGGTATTGCCATTATCCATGTTAATGTTGTTCTCAAAAGAGATAGATCTCTGCTAATTCCCTCCTCGGTTATGAGTTAGGTGCTTCAACTCATTAGAATATATCAGTAATATTCTGAATGATCCCCAGGTGAATCACCTTCCTGGGTATCTTGCTTATAATTCAAAGAAGAAATTTAGACACAGGGAGAGTCTGGGGAAATTATTATTACTATTGTAGCTTTATAATGTAAATTAATATGGGAGACACAGGTTTTAATCCTAACTCTGCTAATAACTTTGCGACCTAAGGCAAGTCAGTTAATGTTTCTTTGCCTCAAATTTCTTTCTTATAAAATAGAAATGATTTTTTTTTAGTGCCAAAAGGAGCCTTGGAGATTATCTCCTTATTTCATAAGAGTCGAAAACCCAGGATCACAGAAGCTGTGAGCAGGAACCTTCCTTATCCGTTCACATAGGTACTCCAGTGGTAGAATGAGAACACAGAGGTGAGGGATCCCTGGGTGGCGCAGCGGTTTGGCGCCTGCCTTTGGCCCAGGGCGCGATCCTGGAGACCCTGGATCGAATCCCACGTCGGGCTCCCGGTGCATGGAGCCTGCTTCTCCCTCTGCCTATGTCTCTGCCTCTCTCTCTCTCTCTCTGTGTGACTATCATAAAATAAAAAAAAAATTAAAAAAAAAAAAAAAGAACACAGAGGTGAAACTGGTTGAAAATGTGTCAAGTGTTGTGGAAACTTAAGGTGACAGAGTGACACAATGATAATAGTAATCAATCCTTAATGGCACTCGAACAAATACATCATCATTATGCCAGACACTTTATAGTTGTTAATTGATTTAATCCCCACAACAGCAAGATAAGTAAGGTATTTGTTTCCAGTTGACAAACGGGAAGTGCGCACAATCCCTGGCTCAGAGTCCCACGACAGTCAGGTGACAGAACCAGGACACCAACCCTGGAGTCTGATGCTGGCATCTGTGTTCAACCACCAGGCTATACTGTTTCTACATAATCATTTCCATCACTGGGCAGCAAGGACAGTTTAACCTAAATGTTGTTAGTTTGAAAGCACACTTATTTTAAAATAAGGTAGGTTCCCAAAGCCTTTTCTCAAAGTGTTCCTACAGACACTTTATTTATGGTATCTTATGTTGAACCAGAAGTTTGGGGTTTTAATTTTAATAATGGAATTGCATAGGTCTGTCTGGGCTCTCTATTCCATTGGTCTTTCTAATGTCTTGCTGTCTTAACTATTACAACTAACACATGTTTTGTGGTCTGGTAGGGAAAGTCCTATTCCCATTTCATTCTTCAAAATTTCCCTACTATCCTTGTCCCTTCATTTCCATATGAATTTAACCATCACTTTTTTTTTTTAAGATTTTATTAGAGAATGGGGGAGGAGGAGGGGCAAAGGGAAAGGGAGAAGCAGACTCCTCACTGACCAAGGAGCCCAATGAGGGACTTGATCCTAGGACTCTGAGATCATGACTGAGCTGAAGGCAGATGCTTAACCAACTGAGCCACCCAGGCGCCTCTAACAGTCACTCTTACAAACAAAACAAGCACTGGCTCAGAATCACACAGCAGTTAGCAACTGTCTTCAAAACAAAAAGCCCTGATGTGTATTTGCCGGGCCTGGGATAAATTTATATTTACTTGAGGAAAAGCTGACATCCTTACAGTATTCAGTAGTTTCATGCATGAACACAGCATAACTATATTTATCTTGTACTCTTTTCATTAAAGGTTTCTTTTGTTGGAATAGTGAAATATTTTACAGGTTTTGTTGCTATTAATAATTTTATTAATTTTATTTTCCAATTACCTGTTTTTGGTTTCTAGGATGAAACCTGACTTTGGCCTATTGAGTTTGTTATCTAGTAGTCCTTTTACGGTTTTATTTAGGGGTGTGTCTGTGGCTCAGTTGGTTAGGCATTTGCCTACAGCTCAGTCCTGATCTCTAGGTCCTGGGATCAAGCCCTGCATCTGGCTCGCTGCTCAGCCAGGAGCCTGCTTCTCCCTCTCCCTTTGCCCCTCCCCTTCTCAAATAAATATTTTTAAAAATAAAATACTTTGAGAGAGAGAGAGCACAAGCAGCAAGGAGGGGCAACAAAACAGGAAGACTTCCTGCTGAGCAGGAGTTCCCCACTTGGAGCATGAACTGAGTTGTATCACATGCTCTTTTTGCATCTATTAAAATACTCATGTGGTTTTTTTGTTCATTCATCTGCTAATGTGAAAAGTTACATTAACAGGTTTTTTTTAAATACCTTATTTTGTGAGATTTTATTTATTTCCTCATGAGAGGCACACAGAGAGAGGCTGAGACACAGGCAGAGGGAGAAGCAGGCTCCCTCCTGGGAGCCCGATGTGGGACTCGATCCTAGGACCCCGGGATCACGCCCTGAGCCGAAGACGCTCAACCACTAAGCCACCCAGGTGCCCCCATTAACAGATTTTTAATGTTAAACTATCCTTACATTTCTGAGATGAGCTTTATTTGATCATATTTGTTTGTTAGGCTTTTATGCTTTTCAATACTGGATTGTTGGTAAATACCACGGTTAGTGTTTTTGCCTCTGTTTGGAAGTGAGAAATGGCATATAATTTCTCTCTCTTACAGAATCCTTATCTAATTTGAACATCGAGGTCACCCCAGTCTCATAAAATATGTTGGATATTCTTACCCTCTCCTTCTGTGTTCTGGAACAGCTTGTTAAAGGTGGATATTAACTATTCTTCATCTCTGTTCTTAAGTCAAGAATGACACTCCAGTGATCACTGACACCAGCTTCTGATGGCACACAAAGTTGTGTTGCTGAAAGTTTATACACAGAACCTTCTGTATTTAACGCAGACCCTCTACTTCTACATCTCCCACTGGTCCTCAGAGCCTCCTTTTGCTCACACAGTTTGGTAGTAGGGAGGTTGGAAAAAGCCAAGAAGGACCAAGAGAAAGAACTGCAAGCTCACTTCAGGGGCCAAGGAGCTTGTTCCTATTTTCTCTGAGTGGCAGAAATCCAGATGAGCCTCCCAGTGCTCCTCCTCTGTGAGCCAGAACCTATAGAATTCACACATAGTTACAGATCTTTTTTGTTTGCCCACTTAACCCTGGCAGGCCAGAAATCAGTTCTGAAAGAAACAGTAATTAACATTCTTCTTAGTTAACCTAGACATTCTTCATTATTCAGTTTGGTGAAAACCAGTAGGCTCAGCATTTCTGAATTTGTTTATCCTTTATTCATAGCAGGGAAGAGCTGTACCTTTTGCCTACTTGAAAAAGAGTCCCTAGAGTGCTGTAAATCTCCCGAGTGGATTTAATCTAAAGGTATAATTGGGAGAGGGAACAAAAAAATACTTGTACAAAGAGTTTAGTCACTACAGTGTTTCTAACAGGGACCTACTAGAAGCAATTTGAATGTTCATCAGCAGGAGATTTGTTAGATAAATTGATGTGTGTGCATAAAATGGAACACCGTGTAGCTATTAAAAAGGGCATGGTAGACCAATGTGGCTTGACAGGCAAAGATTTCTTATATTGGGTTAAAAGAACTTCCTGTGCTATCCAGTATCACCATGTGTCTTTCTGTCCATCGGTTGCTTTTTTGTTCTCTGTCACTTAATCTATGCCAGGATGTTACCCTAGAAGGGTACAGCTCTCTCCTAGGTATTTTTAAGTGGTCCCTTCAAAGGACAAAAGTAAACTAACTTCAATAACTAAACATTTAAACTAGTGCCTTCATTTTTCTCTGGGTAAATTTCTAGGTATCAGGCAAAGGCACTCCAAATATTATTCTTTAAGTATATCCAAAAAGTGGGTATCACTCTTTTTACTAAAATTTAAAGCTCTCCAAGGATTTTACTTGTGAAACTTTAGAGTCGGAGTCTTTTGAATCCATTCCTCATGTTCATTTTATTTGCTTTGCCTTTTCCTCCCCACCTTCCAGCAGCATCCCACATCCTTCAAAGGGAAACCATATCTCTGGGGTGCCCCCAAGGATGTGTGCATGTAAAGCTGGAGTGAAATCACACCCTCGTTTCAGTGATCTGGAAGTGAGCATCACAGACTGTCCTTACGAGTACAGCCTTGTCGGTACTGTCACCCCTGTCCTCCCAAGCCTCGAGCCAGAGCTCACATATTGACCACCATCAGGAATTGTGAATGAGTGGGTAAAGGTAGAGAGGTGGGAAATCCAGTTCTTGAATGAGACAATATTGAATTTATCTCATTTTCCAAATGCCAGGATCCAAAACCCCCTTTGACTACTAGAAAGGCTGGAGCAAAAATTCTGAGTGCCCTCCCACCTCCCAAAATGTGGAGATTCCTGTTTGCCATATCCTTGTAGACTGTAGCCTTCCACGATGGTTTTTGCCCTCTCCTAGCCAGTCCAGTCATAACACCTGAATCCCTTTAAACATTTCCCGAAGGACAAACATTTGGCTGGAACTTCTTAAACTGTCCAAATTACAAAACTTCAATGCTTCTCATTCAAAACCTCCTCTGGTAACATTTTCAGCAACCAGTCTGTCCAACCATTCTGTCTTGCTGTCTGCTTCTGTCTTGCATGCTGCTTGAACTGTTACTGAATAAAGACTTTTCCATGCTACTTTTATGCATTTACCACAAGTCCCTGGTCCTCAAAAGAGCCATCATTTCTGTGTATCCTCTCCATAAAGAGAGGCAGTATGCTAGCTGAGAGCATGGGCTCTAGAATTTGATTGCCTACAAGTCAGAGGCCAGTCCCACCACTTACCAGCTATAGGACTTTTGAATTTATCCAAAAGGAAGTTATTTTTGAATTTAATTTTTCTTTCAAAATAATACATATACCTAATTTTTAAAGTTACATGAGTCCACAAATTTACTAGAAAATAGTAGCTCTTGCTCTATCCCATTCCCACTTCCCAATCCCCCAAAATAACTTTTTAACTGTTTTTGTTTTGTTATTTAACTCCCAAGTTTCTAAATAACATGCTGACACTAATTTTTACTACTATTTCCATTTTGGGTATCAGTTGTCTTCCTGCTGTGGAAGATGAAGACTTAGCCACCCCATCCTCACAGTACCCACCTAGTCATGCACTCTGTCTCTCACTCTCTCTTCCTTTCTCCCATTCCTCCCATGGAAGTTTCTTATTCAACCATTTTGCATTATTTACATAATTATTATTGTTATTATATAATATTATTCTCAGCTGAGCCTCATAATATATTAGGATTCTGTTCCTTTCCTATGCAACTTGTTTTTTCTGGAGTTAATGGTGGTTTCATTTTTTCATTGGGTTAAGACTCTTAAGACCTTCCTTGTCCATGGTGGTCTGAAATTTCATGACTATATGCTTCCTCATGGGTCTTTTTTCACACATTGTCTTGGACACTGCCCTTTTAGTCTAGAAGTTTTTCTTTACCTTTAATTTTTTCCCTTCTACTTTCTCTGTTTCTCCTCCTTTTTTTCAATATGGAATGCTTCATGAATTTGTGTGTCATCCTTTTGCAGGGGCCATGCTTATTTTCTCCGTATTGTTCCAATTTTAGTATATGTGCTGCCCAAGCCAGCACTTTCTGTTTCCTCTATGTGATAATTAATTGGGTGTTGGTACTTCTGAATTAATCTAATGATTTTCATCTTTTTTCCCATTTCTCTCTCTGTTCTATCTGCTGTTCTTTCCAAGACATTTTCTCAACTTTTTTTAAAATACCTTCTATGGAGGGATGCCTGGGTGACTCTGTGGTTGAGCATCTGCATTTGGCTCACATCGTAATCCCAGGGTCCTGAGATCAAGTCCCACATCAGGCTCCCCGCAAGGAGCCTCCTTCTCCCTCTGCCTATGTCTCTGCCTCTCTCTATCTCTCATGAATAAATAAGATCTTTAAAAAAATTTTAATTTACAAAAATTAAAACCTTCTATGGAATTAACTTGTTATAGTTCTCATTTCTAAGAATTCTTTCTTATTCTCTGAATATAGATATGGAGATATATATATTCCTGTATATGATGTTTCATCTGTATGTATACACACACACACTTTTTTTTTTTTGACTCTGTGAGGACAGTGTAAGTTTTTGGAAAAAAAATTTTAAGATTTTTTATTTATTTATTCATGAGAGACAGAGAGAGAGAGAGGCAGAGACACAGGCAGAGGGAGAAGCAAGCCCCATGCCGGGAGCCCAATGTGGGACTTGATCCAAGGTCTCCAGGAACACGCCCTGGGCTGAAGGCAGTGCTAAACCACTGAGCCACCGGGGCTGCCCAGTTTTTGGAAATTTTCTTCTGATTTCTACACTGTTTTTGTTTTCTCTGAGTTTCTTTTTTTGTTTTAGACTCTTCCATGTTAGAAGCTACCTTTAATATATGGTTATCCTTGGCTATTCATTCATTTCTAAGACTGAAGCACAAAAAACTAATTTGAAAGCTACAGGAGGGAAAGGACTATTGAATGAGGGCTTCTCTCTAGTCTGACAAGGAATGAGCCCCATATTTTCTTTTTTTTTTTTTTTTTTTTTTTTTTAGATTTTTTCTATTTATTCATGAGATACACACAGGGAGGGGCAGAGGAACAGGCAGGGGGAGAAGCAGGCTCCCTGTAGAGAGCCCGACCCCAGGACCACAACCTGTGCCAAAGGCAGATGCTCAACTGCTGAGCCACCTGGGTGCCCCGAGCCCAGCATTTTCATTGGCAAATTTCCTGATCCTCCAACGTACCTGTAGTTTTTTCTCTTGGACTCTCAGTTTTCCTAGAGAGAATCCTCCACCCACTAGGGTCTGCAAACTGAGGAGTAAAGGAATGTCATGGTTTAATGTGCAGACTTGCCTGTAGATTTCCTAGTCTTCTAACTCAGTAATTGCCCTTCTGTTTTCCAGCTTCCAGGATTTTGTTAACTGTTATTGTCTTTGTCCTTATGGATCTCTGTATTGTTTTATTCCTTTGCTATCATTTCAGTTGCTACAAAGAGCAATAAATATTTAATTTACTATATTTCTGGGAAGGTTATTTAGCCTCTCTGCAGTTCAGTTTACCCATCTAACAAATGGGGAGAAATAACAGCCCTTACCTCACAGAACTGGTGTTAAGATGAAGTCAGAGGGCAGCCCAGGTGGCTCAGCGGTTTAGTGCCACCTTCAGCCCAGGGTGTGATCCTGGAGTCCCTGGATCAAGTCCCACATCGGGCTCCCTGCATGGAGCCTGCTTCTCCCTCTGCCTGTGTCTCTGCCTCTCTCTCTGTGTCTCTCATGAATAAATAAATAGAATCTAAAAAAAAAGATGAAGTCAGAAACTTGGGGTACCTGTGTGGCTCCATTGGTTGAGCGTCCGACTCTTGATTTTGGCTCAGGTCATGATCTCAGGGTATGGGATTGAGCCCCGCGTCAGGCTCCCTGCTTAGCAGGGAGCCTGCTTCTCCCTCTCCCTCTGCCTCTCCCCTGCTTGTGCTTCCCCCCCCCCTCAAATGAATAAATAGAATCTTTAAAAAAATGTATTGGCTCTAATCTTATCTAAAGTAGTAATAAATTATAAGTCTACATAAGTGTGTACAAGTAATTACACAAGTGTGGAGTATCATCTCACCTGAGTCGAACCTGTCATTCACTGAGAGGGTCAAAAATTAAAACAGCCTTTACACTTCTCTCTCTCTGAGGTAAAATGTTATCCATTTTAGGGAAGTAGAGGGAAAAAATGATGTCCTTGGCTTAATATCAAGATTTATTTTTTAAAAGTATAACAATCAGAACACATGCTTTTCATGAAAGCTGAAGTGAGTCTCAAACTCAAAGTCAATATAAATCTTATGCCAATGAAATTGTCACTCATTTAACTTTTTGAGCGCATAAACTGTTTTAATCAGTTATTTTTCTGCTGTATCTGAATTCAGTAAACTTGAAATATAGTTAACTGTAATTAATTGCCTTGGTCGAATTGCTTCTTTCATTTTATCAACAAACATTTATTAATTAAGCACTTACTATATAAACTGGTCCCTGAGCTTTTTGCCAGTATCAAAACACACCAATATGCAAACAGGGGAAAAAAAAAAAAAACAGGCAATGTGAAAAAGGTATAAGAGATCTCACGGGGTCTCATCTGCCCCCTGAGAGGGCTGGACCAGGTGAACCCGCCACTCAGATCTAAAATGTCGTTGTATCATTTTATACACATCACTGTTTGTTAAGCTCTGACTCAAGTTTGTGATTCATTTCCAGAAGTGCTTGTTAGTACATATGAGCCAAAACACACGTATTAAAGATGCAGTTTGTGGAGCACTATATTAAATAAATTATCCAAGGTTAGTGATACCCAGCCCAATACAAAGAACAAGTAACTGGATCTTTAAATTCTTGACCTGCCCAAGAAGTATTTTACCACAGTGGTATTCCTTTAAGTGTCCAAGTTTGGACAGCTGTGTTCAGTCTGAATCATCGAATAACCAGAGGCAAGCAGAAAAGGGACTGAAGATATAGAAAGCTTGGTACCCCAAACACCCTCCTGCCCCCAGTGACTCTATTCAAGGAAAAAAATCAGTAAAGTTCATTTTAGAGTTCTTAGAAAAAGCTTAACATTTATGAAGAATCAATCTGACTTTCTAACAACATCTCATTTTTGCTTTGATGGATCAAGGTAATTCTCCATTAAGCTTAGGGTCCCAGCTAAGAATTTTACTTGATCCTTGCTCTCTGATGTGGGCAAGTATCTGGTGATCTCAGAATTATGTTACTTTATTTTTTTAAACTTTTATTTATTTATTTGACAGAGAGAGTACAAGCAGAGGGAGAGGGAGAAGCAGGCTCCCCTGTGAGCAAGGTGCCCAATGTAGGGCTTGATCTGAGGACCCTGGGATCATGACCTGAGCTGAAGGCAGACGCTTAACTGACTGAGCCACCCAGGCACTCCAGAATTATGTTACTTTAGATTCAGATCACACAGGTTGGAGGTCTAGATTCTAATTAATAAAAAGGCAAAATATAAATAAAGGATATTAGATGGAAAATTTCTTGAGGGCAAAAAGTTACCTTTGTGTGGCCCAATAAGTGAACTTTTGGAAACTTTGAGTATTGTTCTTAAAGCAAATTTATAAACAAATCATTCTTCCACACAAATAAGTCCCTTCCATACGACTCTTTGCTCATGTACTACTTTTTATCTTCTATGTAGGTAGGTCACAGATGTTAATTTTATCTCCCTGTAACTTAATTTTTGCGACCAGGTCTCCATTTTCACACTCATTACAGGGTCTACCACAACCCTGGGCACACAATAAGGACTTGACTCAGGCAGACAGATTATGTGATTAACATACATATTGATAGCACACATCCTCTGCTCTACAGCAGGCCTGGCCAAGTGGGACCCAGCAAATCCTGCTTCCCCCGGCATGGCAGCAGTTGACCGGAGTGGCCACCCACACATCCGTGCAGCACGCAACTGTGATTCCCGAGACCATGGCAGGCACCCAGCAGTTGGCTGACTGGAGGTAAGCAGCAAAGTAGGTATGTCTGGGATGGGAGGCATGTCCGCTGCTCATCCAGAGAGCTGCTGGGCTAGCCTGTACTGTGAATTCTGTGGTTTATTGAGAACTTTTTAAATTAAAAAGATTATGTGGAATATGACTGCAGTGTATGGGAGTTAATTTTTAAATAAATGTACCAGGATATTAAGAAAATCGGCATCATTACTTTATGGTCAGTTGCCATTTTCAACCATAAATTCAGTTACATCGTTTGATCACCAGTGTAATTCACAGACTTGCCTCTGGATGATTTTTGGTTTGTGTCTCAGAATTAAATTCCACTCCCAAAAAACAAAGATGCGTCAGCAGTTAAAGACTGCAGACGGGAGTTCCTGAGGCTCCTAAGCAATTCTAGAAGGTGTTCTCAGTGTTTTGAGACATGGGCACACTGGAGTTGTATCTGACCTGTCAGGGGAAAGCTTGACAGAATGGGGCTTACTTGGAAGGGTAAACTGTCGCCATGTTTGCTGCATGTGTCTCTTTGGTGAATAGTCATATCTGAGAGCTCAAAGTCCTTTTTCCACAGACCCCAGAGGCCTGCGGCTGACAGCTACCAGTACACCACACCCCCTGTATCTGTTTCCAGCACCCCACCGTCCTACTCCCTGACTTTCTCACCAACACCGTGCTCTGTTGTTTCTATGGCCACTTTGCACTTTCCTTGTACTCTCCACCATACCATTCCAGCACCATCACCAGCTTCCCATGACCCTCCAGGCTCTCTCCATACAAACATCAGGGCATGCCCTCATCTTTTGACAGTCTCCATACCCAACCACGGAGCCTCCCTGAAGTTCTTTTTTTGTCTAGAAGGCTATTGTGAATGAAGAGCTCTCTGTAAAAACGAAGGGGGGGGGGGTGGAGAGAGAAGCCTTCCCAGTCAGGCCTCAAATGCAGCTCCCTCTAGTCCTCCATTTAATCTCCTGACTGGTAGGAACAGGAGAGGACACAGGCTCTCTCCTGCAGCACCACTCACTTCCCAGTGACAACACCCACCACGTCCACCCCCACTCATTGGAAGCTCTTTCAAAGAAGGTAAAACTGGGTTCAATTCTGGCTCTGCATGACCTGGGTCAAGTTGCTTAACCTTTATGAATCTCAGTATCTCCCTCAGTAAAGTGGGGAGAATCCTATCTCACAGAATTGCTGGGAGGTTTAAATAAAGATAGAATACAAATCACGTGACCTGTATCTCACCTGTATCATACTGGCACCTGGTACATGACCGGCAATAAATCATCAGTTCTCTTCCCTTCCCCCACTCACATGGGCTCATGCTGGGTGAGACTGCCTTTCCTCCCCAGCTCACTAGGAACAGCAACCAAGTGGATACCTATCCGACCACTGTTTTTCTCACCCCCTTTTCTCCTAAAAGACCACACATACATCCTATGCTACTTTTTCCCCTTGTCTTTCAGCATTTATATAGCTCACTTAATTCCAGCAAAACTCACCTACTCACACAGATTTTCCTATTCCTCCTCCCTCCTCAGCTCTTACCTGGTTACCACAGGAGAAACGCTTAAAGCCGACTTTCTTTGCAGTCTCTTCTCCATTTCATGCGTGGGCCAAAGAACATCCATAATCATGGCTAATAAACAAAAGAGAAGTACTGATGCTAGACTTACATCAAAAGAATGCCATGTCTGGAGAAGAAACAGCAACTGCAAAGCAGCTGTAACAACAGTTCCTAAATGCTAATGTCCAAAAGACACTATCAAAATCTTGACAAAAGTGGCTACCTACTTTTTTTTTTCCTATTCATCTTTCCCTCAACTTGCAATGATGAATTTCATAATATTTTCTAAATGCAAAGAAATTCTCCTTTAACTTTTTAATTTTATTATGTGCTCAGTGGGCTCTCACGGCCAAGTCTCTGAATTAATCGATGATCACTTTTAATATTTCTGTGGGAAAACAAGCCTTTGAGCTCCACCACAACCCAGATCCTAAAACTTGGAAAGAGAACCCACTTTGAGGATAATGGCTGCCAGTAGGACTTCTATCACCATGCATCTGACTCTTTATTAATTTTGACTTAGTACCAAATTCTATACACGTCTAGTCAACCTTCAGGTTAATCTGTCCATTCAGCAAGCATGTAATTAACTGATCAGCTGCTACATGCCTGAGCCTCGTGCGAGCACGAGAATTCAAAAGAATGTCAACATTTCCAAACAGCAGAAACATTACAACGCCTAGATTTCAAGGGTTTGTTGTTTTTTGTTGTAAACATAAGCTATGAATTTCTCACTTATAAAATGGCATTGCCACAGACACCCTACGTCACAGAGCGCAAGAACCCATTAAAGGCACTTGTAGGTTTAAAATAAAATGCACAGGTCACCTGTTTGGGGACCTTGAAAGGTAGAGGGAGGAGTATTTGTCTCCTCTCCCCAGAACGTAAGCTGAACTCGCAGCTGGCATTCTTCCCCGTTGCAGTGCCCTCCTCCTCACTCACCGACTGTGCTCCTGCGAACTCCTTCAGAGCAGCCCCTAAACCACCTGACGAGCTCACCTCTTCAACCCCGTGAGCTCGTGAGGACCGGCTTTTTTTTTTTTTATGGCCTTTAATTGGGGAGGGGGGGACTTTCATCTTTAAAAAAAGCCGCATATGCTTCAAACCAATAAAAGAGCCTTGTTTTCCCGCCTCCCACTCAGGAACACGCACGCTCACGGCAGCCATTACAATCCCATCATGCAGCAGCCCGCGCTGTTGACTGGTCATGTGACCCTCCCCGCCGCCCAGCCCTTGAATGTGGGCGTGGCCCACGTGATGCGGCAGCAGCCAACCAGCACCACCTCCTCCCGGAAGAGCAAGCAGCACCAGTCCTCTGCCAGGTGGGTGGTGAGCGGCGGCCTCCTCTGGGGCGCGAAGCCCCGGCGCTCCGCTCGGGAGCCTCCGCATGGCCGCTGCGTCCCAGGCGCGAGACAGGCAGCGGCCCGCGGAATGTGCCCGGCCGCCGCCGACGGGCTGGGGCTCGAAGGAGGCCCTCACCTCGCTCCGCTGCTCTGCCCTGCCGCACCCCCCGGGAGGGCCGGGACTGCGGGCTCAGCGCCTGGCTCTGAAGCCGTTCCTGCCTTTTCTTTTCTTTCTTTTTTCTTTTCTTTTTTTAAGATTTTTATTTATTTATTCATGAGAGAGAGAGAGAGGCAGAGACACAGGCAGAGGGAGAAGCAGGCTCCATGCAGGGAGCCCGACGTGGGACTCGATCCCGGGTCTCCAGGATCACACCCTGGGTCGAAGGTGGCGCTAAACCGCTGGGCCACTGGGGCTGCCGTTCGTGTCCTTTCACTTCTGAAAGAAAAAAAAAAAAAAACAGACTCGCCTCTGAAGTTGCACTTTGGAAATCATAATAATGTTCTTTTTTAAAACGGGAGAGAAATAGGCTTTCTTTGAAATCGAAGGTCAGAAATATGACTCATTTAGCTGCTTCTTCAAGTAGACGCGATAATTGCGGTTAATCCAAGACATTACCTCCGGAATAATCTCTCTGGTTCCATTTCAATCCAGTCTCATCACAATGAACTCTTAAAAATCAAAACCGAGGGACGCCTTGGGGGGCTCAGCAGGTGAGCGTCTGCCTTCGGCCCAGGGCGTGATCCCCGGGGTCCCGGGATCGAGTCCCGCATCGGGCTCCCCACAGGGACCCTGCTTCTCCCTCTGCCTGTGTCTCTGCCTCTCTCTCTGTGTCTTTCATGAATAAATAAATAAAATCTTTTTTTAAAAAATCAAGAAAAAGGCCACATACTGCATGAGCCCATTTATATGGCATTTTGGAAAAGGCAAGACTAGATCAGGAGTTGCCAGGGACTACGGGGGTGGGGGGGAAACAGTGGAAGGAAAGGAGCATCAGGGATCTCTCAGGATGATGACAAAGTTCTCTGGCTACAAGTACATTTGTCAAAACTCATCAAACATTTCCAAAGGGCTACTTTTATTATGTGTGAATTATACCTCATAAGCTTGATTATTACAAAAAACAGAGAGCTCCAAATTAAAAAAAAAAAAAAATGCGATCAAGATTGTGTAGCTGCAGAATTGCTCCTCTGTTTTTCTCCAGAGTCACTGACCTGAAAGCACTTAATTGCTTATTTGGAATAGGTTAATCAAGGTAAAAAAAAAGTCCAGGATATAAACTGTCTAGTGATTTTTGGTTTCCTACTTCCTCATCCAACCTGGTGCCAGAAACAAGGCTTGCCCTTTTTTTTTTTTTTTTTAATTCTCTTTTGAAGATTAACCCAAGAGTTGACTTCCTTTGAGTTGTCATTCTTCTTCAAGATTCTTTATTTGGGTGTTTCTGACAACTCAGGGAAATTCATCTCAGATCTGTGGCAGCCCTGTGACAACACACCCATGTCATTATTAGATTGGGTGGCGACAGAGGCCACCATCTTAACCCTTTGCTCTGTCCTGGCCAACTGTGTGGGTGATTACACAATACCAGTCTGACCCTGGGCTGAGCTTCAGCATCCTCATGGCTCACTTTGTCAAGTAGGGGCAGTAAGAACGCTTAGCCTCCCAACCTGTTGACAAGTCTCTCCCTCTTGCCTGCTTACCACCCCCCCACCCCACCCCAGCTGGCTTTATGAAGGCTTATTGCCAGTGCATTTCAAGATCAATATAATTATACGGAAAGTTTTGTTTGCCTATTTTTAAGACCAATGCCTGAAGGAAAACAGAAGGCTCTCCCTTGTTGGGTGGTGCACCCAGGCACACTTTGCTTTAACAACAGCAAGTGGAGATACTTTAACTGCTGAAGTGGTGAAAACATCATCTCAAAGTTGCAACATAGTAACAATAATAAATTTATAGGTTTATGCTAAGTGCAAACAGTGGAACAATCTTATCAGTAAAACTTATTGTGGGGTGCCTCGGTGGCCCAGTCATGTGGGGCATCTGCCTTGGGCTCGGGTGGTTGTCCTGAGGTCCTGAGATCGAGCCCCACATTGGGCTCCCTGCTCAATGGGGAGCCTGCTCCTTCCTTTCACTTGTGCTCTCTCTCGTTCTTTCTCTCTCTTAAATGAATAAATAAAATCTTAAGAAAAAAATCTTGCCAGCCCCCAGAAAGGCACAAGCAACATATCTGACACCAGCTAGATAGAGAATTAAATAAAGCTACAGAATTATTCTCATCTTCCTGCTTTCCTTTTAGCTAGAAAGTGCTAGAATCTCCAAGGACACATAAGAGTCTTAAAAGTTTTGTTGGGCTCTCACGGTACAGATACAACCAAGGTCAGCAAGAGTTGGTGGGGAGGGGGAAAGGTAGGTATTTTTTTCCCTTAAGTTACCAGAAACTACGTTTACTAATTTGATAAGGGGTCTCGAGTCAATCAAAATCAAGATTAAAAGTTCCCTGTTTACGCCTTTTCCTCTTGCATTTTGCCCACTTTTTCCGTTACAGTTCAGACAGACTGGTAAACTTCCTATGAGGCTCAGATGTCAAAGACATGAGTGTTGTTTCATAAGTGGCAGAACAACCATCAGCAAGGAAACCAAAGCTTTATGTGGCAAATAACACTTCCTTCTTTCAAGTCCCTTCAAAACAAGACCCATGTACTTTTGGAGAATGACAGGACAGAGCTCAGGAAGTCAGACCTTGACCCTGAGATGGGGGGGGGGGGCAACCCTGAGACCCTGTGCACTGCACCTGCTCCCACAGCCCAATCCTGGATACACGCCCCCTCTCTCTCTCCCAAGACCCCTGGCTGCTCCCTTTCTCCTGCTGGGAATAGGCACATGGCACTAGACCGGAGGCCAGGGGAAGCCAGGTTGCTGTCGCCATCTGTGTAGCAAGTAGCTGAAAGAAAGAGCTCAAGAGGCAGCCATTTCTGCAGTTACAGAAAACATCTGAATGTTCTGAACTTCTAACTTTTTTTAAGATTTTATTTATTTGAGAGTGCAAGAGAGAAAGCACACAAGCAGGTGGAGGGGCAAAGGGAGAGGGAGAAGCAGACTCCCCCCCCCACCCCGCCCCCCTGAGCAGAGAGCCCAAAGCAGGGCTGCATCCCAGTTCCCCAGGATCATGACCTGAGCCAAAGGCAGACACTGAACCTACCAAGCCCCCCCACCAGGCACCCCCTGAACTTCTAACTTTTTAATGGAGATTTGGCAAAGCTGGTGTTTCTAGACAGTTGGGCTCCTTGGGAGGAGGTGCGGGGCCTCCACGAGCGTGTGTGCCTGTGTCATTACAGAAACGTCTCCACCTGTGAGGTGTCCTCCTCACAGGCCATCAGCTCCCCTCAGCGGTCCAAGCGCGTCAAGGAGAACACGCCTCCCCGCTGCGCCCTGGTGCACAGCAGCCCGGCCTGCAGCTCCTCCGTCACGTGCGGGTGGGGCGACGGGGCCTCCAGCACCACCAGGGAGCGGCAGCGGCAGACGATTGTCATTCCTGACACCCCCAGCCCCACGGTCAGTGTCATCACCATCAGCAGCGACACGGATGAGGAGGAGGAACAGAAGCATGCCCCCACCAGGTGAGGCCGTGCCACCTTGAGACTGCAGGAAGGGGCAGGACAGGGGGGCGTGCTGTGTGCCGCTGGCTCACACACACAGTGCTCCATGGATCTGGACACGACAATCTCTCTCCCTCTCTCCTGGCCTCTACTTTTTGGTTTTGCCATGTCCTAGAGTCCTAGAGTGATTTCAAGAGAATGTCAGACCGATTTTCTGTAATTGTTCAATGCCAAAATAATTTTGAATCACTTTGGTTTTGAAAAACACTTATAGTCTCTATACATTTGGGGGACTTGAGACCAGTTGTATGCAGTGCCAATGTATCTCAACCCCTGTAAGCTTAAAAATCTCTGCCGTGGGCTGTTGAATTTTTTCCCAGTTGGTCAGGATATTTCTCTAGCATTGCCTTGGCTCTCAGAATTCGAAATAATTGTCTAATTAATCAGAAATTTCTCTGTGTCTGATTAACCCAATCTTTCAAACTGCCAGTTGGCTCTTCACTCAGAGAGCATTACTGTTTATTCCAAAGTAGCAAGAACTCATTTTACGCTGTATATGCTTCCTGGGAAGAAGAAAGGAATATTTATTGTATTTGCAAGACTATAAACCCTGGCACCAAAGCCTGTTGTCCTGCATTTCCCAGCCAGACCTGAATAGAGTGCGGTTTGTACTTGGGCTGCCTGATGAGCCCCTGGACCATGTCCTTCTGGAACAGTCAGTCCCCTGGCCTTCTGCACCCTGAGGGGCCCTTGTAGATCCCAAAGCCTCAGAACCCCATCTCCAGCCTGCTGGCCTCTCCGACTGGGACCAAGAGTCAGGGAAGGTGGGGGAGGCCCACCACTGCTGAGCCCAGCGCTAGCGGCCTGCACACAGACCACGACTAGGCATAGCTTTACCATTCACAATTAGGCCTCAATGATTAATTCCTGATTGGATACAATGTCACTAATTAGTAATCACAAATCTTCTTGATTAAATAATAAATTCTCACACTTGAAATCATTACTCAGTGTACAGATAGGCTAATTAAAACACTTTCCCTATAGCTATTCCTGCCTGGGCTATCCCCTCCCCATCTTTATAATGAACTCAGTATTTTGCTTATTTTCAATGAGAGAACTAGTATATTCTCATTCCAGTGTCCCTTGTCCTTGTTTGATGTCTCAGCCCTGGTCCTCAGTGCATCTCAGAAGAGGATGTTTTAGAGCCCTTCTGGTCCTGCCATCATTCATGCCAGAGGGGCCATGGCACTGGGGACACCAGACACAGTTCCTCACTCCCCACCTACCTGTGCTGGGACTGGCATCTCCGTTTCCTTTTTTTGATAACAACCCCAAGTTGAGTGAATACTCCGTCCTCACCATCACGCCATGCTCCCCAGCCCAGGAATATTGTGGGCTCGGGTGGTCCCATTCCAAAGAGAAAGGCTTCTCTAAGCCCAGAGCAGCCGGTCCACATGTTTGTAGCACTAGCCATAAAACAGGCCGGGCAGCCCCAGACAGCCCTTTGCTACAGCTGGGGAAAAGAAAAAGCAATTTAAAAATCTGACAATCAACTAGATCGGCCCTAGCATTTTTTAAGTATGAGATTTGAATTGACACAGAACCTCAACATATGTGCTCAGAAGAGAACTGAATACTGTGTCTGAGGAAGAAGAAAGAGGATGAGAGAGTGATCTCTCCACCAGGCACACGGCTGCCAGGGCCGAACACACACTGTTTCTGCGGCCATCCCCACAGCCCCAGAGAGAAACCAAACTGAAATTCTCAGCAGCAGGGGAGGGCAGGGAGCAAGTCAAGGGGCAGGTGCACATTGAGGAACCACCACCACGGGCTGCTGAGGACCAAGCTTCATAAGATGAAAAATGCAGAGGCCCACCGGAGATGTTACACCAAACAGGAGAACTGTAAATTGAAGCCAGAGAGTAATCCTGAAGGGCTCCAGCTGTCTGGTTGTGACAGGAAACTCACAGAAAGAGATGGTCATGTTTTCTGGAGAGATCGAATGACTGTTGCCTTAAAAAAATGTTTTAAGATCCAAGAAGACAGGAAAGCGTATTTGAGTCTGAGCAGGATAAAACAGAACCCCGTAGCTGTTTTATTTGTAGAGAAACCACTGTATAATGTGATCATGTTATCGTGACTACATTTTGGAGAGAAAAACGGGGAGGAAATATAATTACTTGTTCTTAAAAATCAGAATTATCATAAAATTCAACACAGTAAATATTTACTGGACCTGCGAGTGTGAGATAGGATGCTAGGAACGCAAGTGTTACATAAATAAGGTAGACAGTCTCCGTCCTCGGGAGCTTTGCAGGGTAGTAAGTGAGATACGACACATACAAATCATCACCCAAAATGGAATATCAGCCCCGTAATAACTAGCAGAGTACTGTGGATTTTCAAAGGGAAGGTAGCTTAAGGAAAGAGAAGGGAAGAAGCGATTTTCTAAGGTCAAAGGGCCAAAGGGTGTGGATAAGTAAGCAAGGGGGTGAAACTGCCGATTCCAGTGAGGCAGGTGGTGGAGCTGGAGCCTCAGAGGTAGGCTGGTAGGACCAGGAGCACAGATGGGCAGCTGATCAAAGTGAGAGTGGGAGGCAAGGCTGACAGGGATTCCAGAATAGAAAGAGGATCTGAGGGTCTCCCCTTCAGTGCAGGTGGTCAGCTTCAGGAGATACTGAGGAGCTCACAGGAAAGCATCCATCCTGGGAAAACAAGGATGTACCCCCAAGTGCAGCCTATCGGGGAGCCGCTGGACCTCCATCCAGCTGGAAGCTTTTCTAGCCTGTCAGTGTTCCCATTTGAACAAGCAAGACTTCCCTGCTTGTCCCAAACCTGATTTCTCCTGCACTGTGACCATCTTGATTCTGATCTGCTGTGTTCCCAACCTCATTTCCTATTTGCTGTTCACCTCAGGACTAGCACCCTGACTCTGTCGAAAATGCTGTTTGCCCTAACATGACGCAGCCTCAGCACAGCAAGTCAAGAGTGAAGGGGCCGATGACACTACAGGGATAGTGATCGTGGCATCACATAGCAGTGCCTGCACGCCAATGTCTTTTAGAGCCAGCGTGAGATAAATTATGGCATCCTCACAATGTTAGACCTGACTGAGGGTGTCACTAAATCTCTGGGACCAGATGACAGTGCCTAGAATTTTTAGACAAATGCCAAAGCAAAATTATTTCTCCTGACCCCCAATACTTGGCACTTTTAGTTGCCAGAGCAGAAGGATAGTCAGCAGTTCCTACTTACGAGGAAGACCCCAAAGCAAGAGAGGCCAGGCTGAGAGAGAGCAGATGAAAGGGGACCCCTCCCCTTTAGAACACTAAGTGTTCTCATTTGCACTGTCCCATGCATCATTTGATGGGATGTACAAGGCAAGTGGTTCCACTCCCATTTGATAGGTGAGGAAGCTAAGACCCAGGAAAGGTGAGTGACTCGCCGTAATTGATGAAGGTTCTAAATAGGAGAATCGGGAATCCGCTCCCATGCTGTTGAAAACACAGCAGTCTCGATTATTAGCAAAAACAACTGATTTCTCTTCAGTCATTAATTCGACAGATGTAAACTGTGGCCTGCCCCCTCCTCCAACCACCTCCATGTTCCCCCACGGTCACGCCCACTGTGTGCAGGGCACCAGGCCAAGGCTGTGGGGAATCCACAGTATGTTCATGAGTCCTGACTAGGTGCCATGCGTTGGTCAGAGTGCCGAAGCTCTAGCAGCAAGAAGGGCAGAGGTCAGCTCTTCTGATTCTTCGAGAAAGTAATTTAAAATGAGGAGGCCAACACAGCCCAGCAACCTGCTTTTTCTCAGTGAGTTGCTGTTGGAATAGGGGACCCTGTGGTTATGGTTAGAAAATTGTTCTAAAGATAGAAAACCCAAACTGGTATTTTCTGGGTCCCCCAGGATGAAGTAGTAGAACCAGTCTGATTTTAAATATTTATAAATGATTTTGATGAGAGGAGCATCCGACTGTCTATATGTGCTGAATAAGCCATCTTCTCTCCCTTGAAATCTCTGTGGACAAAGTTTATTGGTGCATGTCTTATTCAGACCCTCTGCTAACCTTGTCTTGGTCTGAAACTGTCCTTTCAAGGCCGTACCACACAACCTCCGGTCATGAGGGTAATTTTTAAAGTGTGTTGCTAAAGTGGCTCACTTCAGCCAATCAACTAGAAACTATTTCGTCCAGTCTCCTTATTCGCTCATTTGTTCATTCATTTAATTACCTGGATATTTCTGGTAGCCAGGTTTTCTTTTCCTGTGGTCATCGGGGCACTGTTCCTTTCAGCATCACTTTGTGTGTGTGAGCAGCGGCTCCAGAGTACGACAACCAATGTTACCAAGACAAAAACTTGAAGAAAGTTGATGCATTAACATCCCCCAGTATTTTGAAGAGGGATCATTCTTAAAATGGTTTTATAAAAACTAGTTGACCCAAAATGTTGTTCTTTATACTAAATTGAACATCTAGAGCAATTACTCTATTTAAAAGGCACAGTCGGGAAACTGATAAGCTGCTCCACAAAAGACTTTGGCCTGGAAAACTAACATCTGCTTAACAGAAAGCAACACACACACTCATTTATTATTACACAGGCAGAGTCAACTCAAAGCGGACCCCGTGTCCATGGTCACCTGCAACCCACTGCATCACTCCTTTCCTCCTCCTCCTGCTTCATAAGCTGGAGTGAAGAAACAGGAACCCAACACACAGTATCATTTGAAGGGCTTTGTCATTTTGCAGTGTTGACTTGTCAGATATCCCGAGGTTGAAGGAGAGAGTTCAATCATCTGACTCCTCTCAGGAGATAGGAGGATGCTTTGTCAAAGTGGACTTCACCGCATCCTCTTCACCTCCTCTTGTTCCTTCAAAACACCCCTGCGGGTTGAGTAGTGTGATTAAGGGCTGCATTTTACGAAAGGGCTGCATTTTGAAGAAGCAACACCACACCTGACTATCCCCAGCAGCCTGTCCTGACACTTCAGCACATTACAGAGCCCTCACTGACAC